GGAGCTCCTAAGTAAGTTACCAGGTGCTTGGGGCCTCAGTTTTCTCATCAGAGATGCTCATGTGACCTATCTTGAAGCTTTGAGAGGTGAATTAAATAAAATAATGTATGCAAATCACCCAGGCCAGGTCTGACAATTGGTAGAGGTTAATTCTCTATTGTTCTGGGTATTTTTAAGTCTTTATTTATTGATTGATTCTTTGAGACAGTGTCACTTGGTCACCCAGGGTAGAGTGCCATGGCTTCATAGCTTACAACAACCTCAAACTCTTGGGCTCAAGCAATCCTCTTGCCTCAGCCTCCCGAGTAGCTGGGACTACAGGTGGCCACCACAACATCCAGCTATTTTTTAGAGATGGGGTCTCACTCTTATTCAGTCTGGTCTCAAATTCCAATCCACCCAACTTGGCCTCCCAGAGTGCTAGGATTATAGGCATGAGCCACTGCCCCTGGCCTCTAGTGTTATGTTTTGTTGAACCTAAGATTTTTTTTTTTTTTTGAGACAGTGCCTCAAGCTGTCGCCCTGGGTAGAGTGCTGTACCATCACAGCTCACAGCAACCTCCAACTCCTGGGCTCAAGCGATTCTCCTGCCTCCACCTCCCAAGTAGCTGGGACAACAGGCTCCCGCCAAAATGCCCAGCTATTTTTTTGGTTGCAGCTGTCATTGTTGCTTCGCAGGCCCAGGTTGGATTTGAACCTGCCAGCTGGGGTGTATGTGGCTGGCGCCTTAGCTGCTTGAGCCACAGGTGCGGAGCCTTGAACCTAAGATTATAAGATGCACCATTATTTTACATTCCACTAGAAAAGAAATACTTCTGTGAATGAATTGTGAGATACCTTGGAATGATGAAATATGGTATTATTGGGGAGGATCAGGAGGGGGAAACAGGATTGTCAATCTCTACAGCAAGAGTTCCCCACCTGGGATTCATATTATAGTCTAATGCCCAGACTGCATCCCAATTAAACCAAAACCTCCAGAGTGTGGCCAGTAATTTCTCTGTGACTTGGTTTCCCATATGCAAAACTGAGATAATTATAGAATCTACTTCTGGGGCCACTGTATTAAATGAGTTAATTAATTTAAGTGATTTGGAACAATACCAGGCCCACAGAAATACTGAAGTTACTCATCTCTGCACCCCTTGATCCCAAAACACACTAGGTGTTTCCTAGATGTTGACTGAATGCAGGAATAGACATTATCATGTGACTGCTGCCCTGTAGTCCAGCTGGGAGAGGCCCACTCTGGCCTCAGTCAGGAGGTAGAAGCCCAAGAAGAGGTTCACCTGCCCAAGAGCTTCTGTCCAAAGTTCAAGGGAGCCCCACCCCTCTTCAACACTGCACCCTACCCCCACGGGCAGGGCTGCAATGCGGTGGGTGCTGTCACACCCGGCCCTGCCACAGCCTCTTGGAGTCAGTGACAAGAACCAAACCTCCCCCAGTCTCCACCCCTCCCCTTTCCTGCTTTTATTATTTTCCTTTCCATAAAGATTAGTCTGTGTTGCTCCTCTATCAAGGCCTGGAGGATAAACATGTGGTCCGGAGGCAGAGAAACCCCAGGCCTGAAGGCCCCACTGCCCCCACCCCGGCAGCATAAACCCAGGGCTTTTAAACAAGGAATGGTTTTCAGTAAATCTCTCCTATCAGCAGAAACCTTTGAAAGAGTTTGTTTAAAGGCCAGGGAGATAAACAGCAAGGAGAAGTGTTTGTTTAAGATGTATGTTCTGTGTGGCCACTCTGGGGCCCAGATTTACATCTCTGGGGAGAGAAGCCACTCAGAGGCCAGGGTGGGGGCCTTCCAGAGGTACTTAGGGCTCTGGGTGTAGACTCCCACCTAGGCAGGTACCCGAGTCTTCAGGGGAGGGAGGCAAGCTGGACTGCACCTGCAGGATCCCTGGACTTGGGGCAGGAAGGGGGTGGGCTGAAAGCTAAAGGAAGGGAGAGAGCAGTCTTCACAGAAGGGGAGGGATACCCAGAAGGACTTGCCAGTTGGAATGCAATCAGAGATCCCCTAGGAAGACACCTTCCCCACCCCCCGGCTCCACATACATTCAAAGTTCAGAACAGACCCAGGCTCAGGGCCCACCCCATATGGCTCCACACTCGGGAGCCCAACATACATGAAGGCTTGAATCTGGGTATTGCAGCCAGCTCTGTGACCTTGGACGAGGCACCTAACCTAGAATTAGAGCCCTAGTTCCTCTCTGCTATGAAAATAACACACCTGCCTTGAGGAGTTTTAAGTATTCCTCCTGCCACCTGACAAATGTGTATTGAGCACCTACTTTTTGCCAGGCGCTGTTCCAGATGCTCGGGATACAATAGTAAACAATATAGTCTCTGCTCTTTCAGAAGTTAAAGCAGAGGAAGACAGATGATGAATACAATAACGATTATATACTGTGCTCGGTCCTGGGTGGCTGAGCAGTAACTGGGCCACAATCAGAGGTATCTCCACCTGAGCTGGTCTCACTATGGAAAGTGTAAGCTTTCCATATGAGCTATGGCAAAAATAGAGTAGGTACAAAGAACTGGGAAAAGAAGCTTAGGGTTGACCTTCCTGAGAAGGTGAGGAGGAGATACAGGTATCTCAGGGGAGAGATAACCAGACAGAAGCCTCAGACAAATAAATCAAATACATTAAGGTAAGTACTACCTCGTGGTCCTGTGGTCAGTAAGTAACTACTGATCTTGTCATCAGCATCACTGAAGCAGTTACTGAGGGCTGGCATGGACAGGGGAGACTTCAGGGAGGAAGCAGGACTTAAGCTGGGTTTCCCCTAGAATTCCAGCTCCCTGCCAAGTAGAAAGGAAAGAAAGGCTCTGGAGAAAAGCATCATGGAGGTGGGGAGACAGGTGGCTAATGAAGAACTCATTCCCCAAACCTGATGGTGCTGGAACAGTTTGGCAGCAAACACAGCTGTATTCTCCAGGAAAGTCCTCAGTCTAGATCAGGAGTCAGGGTTCCCAGCCCAGCTCTGCCTTCTTATTGGCAGGTGACCTGGGGCGAGCGACCTAAAGCTTCCTGGGTCCTTCTTCCCTCTACTTTTGTTGCTACTTTCATGAAGTAGCAACGAAAATAATTTTATGGTTGGGGGTCACCAACCACATGAGTAACTAAAGGGTTGCAGCATTAGGAAGGTTGAAAACCACTGTTCTACAGTAAAATGGAAATAATATATCCTCCTCTTACTGGATGGTTGGGAGGAATGAAAAGAAATGTCGAGGGGTGTCTGTGCCTGGAACATAGTAGATGCTCAATAAATGTTGGGTCTGGGGTCCTCTACATCTTTCGTCCTTAAGACTCCCCTTGGGCTCTCCTATGGGAGGGAGAACTGGATGGTGATGGGCCCACTGGGTCCCAGAATTGGAGAAAAAGTTGCTGAACAGCTGACGATTGTTGAAGCTCCAAAGGGAAAGTAGGAATTTCAGGGAAACAGATTTTCACTTGTGCTCAGGAGGAATTTTCCAGTGGTCAGGGCTGTCTAACAGCACAGAAGGGGCCTCTTTAGAGGTAGTGAACTCCTGCTGATGGGAATGCTGAGAGCTGAGGTCGCTGAGCTTTGGGTTGAGGTAGAGGACGTGGGTTGGGGTTGGGGATTCCTGCCCTGGGAAGACTTTGGACCTACAGGTTTCTTGGGTTCCTTGCAGCTCATTCACAGGCCAGCATGTCTGAGAGATAAGTCCCTGCTAAATTTGGGACAGTCACAGATTAGCAGGTTAGCCCTTCTAGGTAACCCAGGTTCAAGTTAATTGGGTGTCTGATGTGTCAACTTAAATGTACAAGGAGTGGTGGGACTTCCAGCACTGCTGGGGAGGCCACAGGACAGATATGTTTGAGAAAATATACCTGAGTAGTCTGTAGTTTATCAAATAGTTCATACTCCCCTCCAAACTCTACTTACGATAAGGTTAAGTTCACAGACCATGGCTCAAAGATTTAAAGGGCTGGAGCACCTACCCTGGCCGGTCCTCAGGAGTCAGCTAAAGTGCCACAGGGTCTCCAGCTATCTTCTCCCTGCCCCATAGATGCCTTGCCAAGGAGAACTCGCGCCTGGCAGCTGTAAGCCAGCACTTTTCTTTTCAAAGCCTCTGAATCTCCTTTCCCTCCTCCTCTTTCCTTCCCGCCTCCCCCCTACACCCAAAAAGGAGGATGCCCCTTCTGTTGAGTACACAGCCTGTAATTTTGCTGTCAAATCTCAGCCAGGAGGTCAGTGTTGTGACTGACTGTGTAAGGATCGCTCCCTTAAGGGTAATTACACTAAATTCCCCTCTGAAGGACAGCTCTCTCTGGATAGAATACAAGAAAACCCTGTATCCCCCATTCACGGAAATGCATCATTTCTGCGGCTGTCACTGGCACTCTGGCAGCGAGATACTTCGAGGTGCTCCAACTACTAGGAGGTGAGCCTGCAGGGTGGCAGCTGTGGCAGGACCCAGGCAAGAGAGTGGATGGCCAAGCAGCAAGTGGGCGGGAGAATCCAGAGGGCCCACTCTGGGTAGCTGGGGTGGCTGAGCAGGAACTGGTCCACAGACAGAAGTATTTCCACCTGAGCTGGCCACATCCTGAAGGGAGATGGTAAGAGGGTCGCTCCACCAATATCTGCCCTTGGAGAGGAGACCCCTCGACATTGTTCCTTTGTTGACATTCACAATTCCAGGTCGGCTCTGGTAATGTACTGGGCACTGAAGGAAGACTCAAGATGGGTCAGCAGCTTCCTCTGGAAAGAGCTGGTGAGCTCTTAGGCAAAACAAAGCACTCACATGAGAAAGGTGAATCAATATCCAAGCCCCCCCCCCCCGCCCCATCCCAGCAGAGGGGCAACACCTTGACCCTTGTCCTCACCTGCAGGAGGATGGCAGAAATGACCAAGACCTTTAGGGTCTAGCAGCTGCACTTCCACTCTCCCCACCCGGGGGAGACCCTGGCAAGAGTTGGGGAGTCACTCACCCACAACAAACAGTTAAAAGGAAGAAAGCGGGTCTGGCGATATCAATGCACTTTGATAACAATAAACTCTGCTTTTAATTTATGCTAATGTGTAGGGCTGTGGTGACAGTAAGAACTAAATTACAGAGTGGCTTTCGAGATGGTAATTATCCCTCCATTTTTCGCTGCTCTGGAAGATGGACACACAATTATGCTCTCTTGCTGTATATTAATACAGATTCTTGACATCTTCAGCAGACCTGGAGCTGTCATCGAGCTTTTTGTCTCCTTTAATTGAAAATTAATGGTTACTGGGTTGCCACGGAAACAGAGGCCACGGACGCCAATGGCGCTCACGTCTCATGGCGGGACTGGCGGCGTCAGGAGTCCGGAATGACCTTGAAAGTTAAAAGAAAAAAAAAACTTAAAAAAGAAGAGGAGAGGAGGGGAGAGGAAGACAGGAGGGTGGGAGAGTGTATGTCAGAGCTGGGAAAGAGACAGAGAAAGAAGAGAAGGAAAAGAGAGAAAGGAGGAAAGAGGGAGAGAAAAGAAAAGTAAAAGAAGAGATTAGAAATCAAAAAGAAAAGAGACAATTCCAAGAGGTTGGGGACATGGGTACTGGAGAGGGGAAAATTAAATTAGTAAGTTTTACCTCTTAGCTTTTGACTCTTACCTCTTTCTTTCTTTTTTAAAGATTCCACTTGAAAACCCAGAACTGAGTTTTGGCTCCAAAATGTTCATGATTTATAAATCTGTATTAGTAATAATGTCAGCATTTGCCTAAAGCCCGCCCCTCCCCAGGAAGAAACAAAGGCTCCTGGACCCATGGGAGGTGGCAGGCAGAGCAGGGGCAGAGGTGAGGTGTGCTTCCCAGGGCCCACGTGGACTGTGCTGTCTGAAGTGGGGGCCAGGGAGGGGGCTGCTGAGTGGGGAGCCAAGAGCTGTCCCATATTGCTCCACAGTCATGGGCAGGTGAAAGGACTCTGTGGGCTGGGCCTTCAGCTAGAAGACACAACAAAGGAGTCAGAGAAGGGGGTAAAGGAGGGTCCTGGCAGGGGAGACAAGGGTTGGTTCTCCTGGGAAGATAAGAGATAAAGGGGGGGGCAGTTCAGTGACCCCCTGGGATGGCTAGTGGTTCTGGCCTTGGTAATGGTTTTTCCTAGAAGTTGGCAGGCCCAGCATGGGGGCACTGAGGAGCCCTGAGTGTTGTAGCAGGGAAGATGGGCTCCTTCAGCATCAGCCCCACCATCCCAGTTCCTCAGTTGCTCCAGATATGCAATTCAATTCAGTAATTACTGGATGCCTATAATGAACTAGGAACCAAGCTAGGTAGGCTCTGGGGTCACAAAAACACATCACACAGACCCCTTTCTACACAGACCCTGCCTAGAAAGTTTCAAAATCGGAGCTGGGTATAGATAGACATAAAGAAAAACAATTGCAAATTTAGCTACTCCCTCAAAGGTTTCTCTCCAAGGGTGTTTGTCACAGTGCTGTTTATAATAGCAAAAATCTAGGGGACGGATAACCAACCAACAAGTGAGGACTGACAAAACGATATGCCTCATAATACACCCAAGATACGGAGCACTGTGCAGTCGTTTTAAATTATGCTGAAGAATATTTAATGACCTGGGAGAAAGAGTTTCAATATTTTGTTTAATGAAAAAATCCATTTACAAAGTGGTGACATGTTCATGATTCCATGATCCTGTTTCTAAATTGTTTAAGACATGTGTACATTAAATGTGTCAGGCTGTAATAAGAAGTTACATATGTATATGTAAATGTCTGAGTGTGTGATGTATGTGGATGAATACTTGTGAATATGTGTATGAATGTGCATGTGTATATGAGTGTGTGTGAGTGTATATGGGAGTGAACTTTAAAAACACTAGGAGATTGGCTCGGCGCCTATAGCTCAACCGGCTAAGGCGCCAGCCTCGTACACCTAAGGTGGCGGGTTCGAATCCCCAGCCCGGACC